GGAGCACTTGGGTGTCCGCCGTGCTGCCTTCGCTGCCTCTGCTTTGGCATCCTCAGCCTCCATGGCACACCAGTCCTGCCCAACCACCCTAAGCTTCTCCCGCCTCGCCCTTCAGGGCTCTTATAAAGGGCATGGCCATCGCTGCCCCAGAATGTAGCAACTTGGGTAGGTGGGACAGGGGAGCCCATGGCAACGGGTGGGGGTTGCCCGGCTCTGGGGAGCCTGTGGCACAGGAGCTGCCTTGGCCCCACAGGCTCCCCTCCCTCTGCCGGGCATGGCTGCACCTGCCCGCCTCCCCCTGCAGCCCCGTGGTGGAGGCTGGAGCTGGAGCTCAGCCGGGGAGGGCTGGAGGAGGAGAGGGGGCCAGGGCTGCGACTGGAAGAGCCGGGGGGGCACAAGCTGCACATTTTCGTACATTTGAGTACATTTCCATGTGCTGGTGCATGCAGAGATGGGGAGTTTTGGACCGGTGAGCCTGTGCAAGGGAGAGAAATGCAGTGTCCTCTACTGCCTTAAATGAGAGTTTTCCCTTTTGGCACATTTACATCCGCACTCACTTTGATACTTCTCATGCATTCACTTTTAATATGCACAGGATTTCAGTTGCATTTTGTTTCCAATTTGCAGCATCCTTCTCTTGATCTGGAAGAGAGTGACTGCCTCAGCCTTAAAAAAACCGTTTCATCGTTCTGTTTTTCCAAACAAGGTAGTAAGATGAAGGTGGAAAGCATATGTCATTCGAAAGACCCGTCGCCTTTTCATGGAATTCCTTTTTCTCTGGAGACAAAAGGCAGGCTGTCCATTAGAAATACAGGAATGCTCCAGTTCCACTGTTGCTTAGAGAGCACTTCTTATTCGGTACTGCTGGTAGCTACAAAACCATGGTTTACGCAGTAGCCCATTTCCAGGAGAAAACTCTCCACTTTGCAATGGAAAGCGCAATGCTGCTGAATTTTCTCACACATACAATAGCCAATTCTGTTTTAAAGTCCTGAGATGCCAGTAGCTTCCTCTTCATTAAAGAGAATACCCTAAAAATAAACCTCCAAGTAGCTGTAAAGTTTTTTCCTGATTCGTTTCAAGAGAACCAGGTAACATCTATCTGCTGCTCTGAAACAATTCCAATATGCAATACAGTATGTGTCACAGCAGCCTTGCAGAAGCCCTTCCCTTGGAGTAAACCTACCTCCAAGGCTTGGGTACACCCCTCAACCTCTCAGGGGGAGGAGGCCCAGCACAGCAGGCGCTTTTAGAGACTTGGCAACAATCTGTTTTGCCTTAGCAGTGAGCAGCCAGCCCCTGTGCCCTGCAAGCCCCTAAAGCTCAGTCTGCATTCAGGCTTCTCATTTTGCAAAAGACACAGCAGGACTTTGCATCTGAGGCCAGCAGGTTTCCAGTGGGGTTTGGACTCCTGGGGAGCTGTTTGCCTAAGTGCAATACTGGCATACAAGCCCAGACTTGCTCTCAAAAGCAATTCAGACCCAGCTCCTCAAATGCACGCAGTCCGTAGACCACCCAGCACAGCAGTAATCCCAGGCTGCAGATTTTGCTCTCCCAGTTGCAGACTGAGTCTTTGGTAGCTGCTTTTTGTGAGGGGCTCTCAGCCATGCCTGTGCACCCGTGCATCCAGGGATCCTGTGCAGGAGCAAGGCCCAATCTGTGCAGGCAAACAGCAGGGCGCACAGGAGAGACCACCACAGTGCTCTGTGGAAATGGGGTGCTGGACTGCACGCACAGCAGCTCCTTTTGCAAACAGGAGGCGGCAAAGCACACGTGCAAATATAACTAGCTCCTTGTCCTCAGTTGCAGGCCGTTTTCCCCAGAAGACTTACAAAGCGCTGTCCAGAAAGCCAGATTCATGTGCATGGGCATGTGTGCACTGTGGCTAAACAGCTTTGAAAATCTGAGCTGAAAATCGGACCATTTCTTCCCACTTCAGAAAGGTACTTGGTTGATATGCCTTCAATAGAAGCTACTCTGAAATGCAGCTTCAAAGTGCTGCTCGCTTGTCTCAGGGCCTTGGTATTCCCATAGTCATTCTAAACATTGACTCTGTATTAAATATAAACAGATAATATATGCCTGATTTTATGCTCCATATTTTTGCTGTGTGTTGAGGATATGCACATTTAGGTGTAGAATGAAAGAGGATGGATGTCACATTTTTCAATACTGTAATTACATCTTTCCATAGATGCACAATCTGTGTTCATTTAGATACTGAAGCAGTGGAGGAGAAAGGTAAGCTACGTACGTTTTCCCCAGTAATTTTCTGTTCTGAGTGACATACTACTACTATTCGAAACATTTACTCAAACGTACTGAAATTTATCTCTGTTTTTCCTCAAAAAAGGTGGACCAGCCCTGGGCTGTATCAGTTTCTCCATTAGTAAACCACGTCCTTCACAGTCACATGGAATTTTCTTTTGAACAATTTTCACTTAAGTATTCAGGATTTATTATACTTTTCATACAGTTTGTTTGAAACATAACCAGACTTGATTTCATAGAAAAGTATTTTATTTTGCTTGTAAAGTAAATATGTATTTCTGCAGACAGTTCAAAGAATGCTGCTATTCCAGTCCTGTTATGTGTTTATATTTGTGTTTGAGTTAGCTTATCACACACCATTAGCAAGACCATCACATAGAGGAGACAGAACAATTTCAGAATAAGTTTTTGGGATGAGATATAGAATTGTACGTGGATGCAGCTTCATGTCTATTCATTTTCACCTTCATTCATACTTGAAAGAAAATGAGCCATAATAAATAAAGACTTTCCTCTAAAACTTACTCAGTTTACTCTAGCATTTTATGTACCATATGGTGGGACTGTAACATAAAGACAGTACAGACAGAGTTCTGTATTAAAATGGCATTTATAAGAATTATTATCTTGCCAAAATGAAAGGAAAGCTGATTTCATGTTATTGCACTCAATAGCAATAATGTCTCTACTTATTTCCAACTTGTGGTATAAAGCGTGTGGGTTTGGTAAGCAGTTTGTTTTGTACATGAAACAGTGAAGAAAAGCAATGATTTAGCTAAAAAGGAACAAGTCAGAAGACTCTCTGCCTCTGCATTGGATAGCACAAAATGGGGGTTTGGTTTTTTTCCTCCTTCTCAGCTGACATTTTACACAGTAAATGTTTTTTGGCAAGGAAATTGTTCTACTTAGATCTGACATTCACAGATTCACATAATCAAGAAACTCGTTCGGTCTGAGATCCCCATTAAATATTTGCAAATTTGGTTCGATGTAAATGTTTTGTTATGCGTCACAATGAAGAATATCTTTTGAATTTTTAAGACATCACATATGAAGATAAAATCCTCTCTTCAGAAATCATCTCAGTAGTTTGGAAGTGTCAGTTATGTACCGCCATAAATCATTATATAAAAAATTATCTACTGACGGTCTTATCAGCTCTTCTACATTATAACTCACTAGCCCCATGTTTATGGCTGTTACGGTATAACCAACATGAGGACATTTACCTGCCCAGGCAGAACAGCCCAAGGAGGACTGGCCAGGCTTCAGATGCTCCCCACCACTCCACACCCAGCCCCCTTCTGTGATCCAGTCCCAACAAATACCTCGACTCCACCTGTGGATCTCCTGGCATTGTTCACTCCGGGGTTTACAGTGGCTCTCTGCACTGGTCGATGAGCACGCAGATTAACTGCCCATCCCGTACCGATCCCTTACGTGAGTCACGTCTGGCCCATCGGGATACTGCAGTGTTCTTTGCTCTGAACTCCAGGTGGGCAACCTTACACACTCAGAAGCCTTCAGGAGGGGTTGTTCTGGATTATGTGGTGCAGCCCTTTGCTTTTGTCCCACTTCTCTTTTGCATTAGTTACGTCCTGCTTTTCTTCCCTTTCACAAGGGAAGAAAAATCCCTTTCAAGATGTGGAGACTCACCTTTACCTGGCCCAGAATATCATTTTACTAAGTAGCACTGACAACACACCTTCATGCTTGCTTCTGTAGTCATCCTCATGTTTAGAAGCTCCTTATACAAACCACCACAGCCTTTAAAGCATCCTCTGCCTGACCCGTGTGATAAAATCTCCTCTTCACCATTGCGCTGACATCAGTGCCTACCCATCAGTGGTATCTGTCACAGAATTGCCAGGTTCAGCTGTCTGCCAACCTGCTTCTGAGGTTGTCTAATCCTGCCGAAAGCAAGCCTACATGACAGCCAATGAAGTCATTTCTGTTGCTTCTGCAGCCTGTATTTTCCGCCTTTCTGATCGCTGTGAAATTGTGCAGTAGTGAACATTTTTGTTAAGTGTGAGGAAAAGTGCTGTATAGAAACAGTTCAGTAAGATCAGATCGTATCCACCTTAAGATTTGAAATGGCTAAAATGTGTTTGGATTACACCATTTTTAAAACTGGTTCCAGTTTAGCTGTTTAAATTTATATAAACAGATTCAACTTTTCAATCCTCTTTCAGTGTCAGTTCCTTTACTTTAAAATGTTGTCTTCAGGAATTCAAACAGGAATTCCACTGGGGTGGATTTTTTGTTGCTGTTTCACAGGTTTTAGATGGAGCACAATTAGATTTTTATTTTGAATTTCATCTGCTGCATCAAAAAAGTAAAACTCTTATGCCATGATCTGAGAAAATTGGATGGAGTTCAAATGAAAGTGAAAATCTTAAAAATTTATCGAAGTTACATAAAGCACTTCTGGTTTCTTTACTAAACACAACTGAAATAAAGCTTGAGTACTTAAAACTGTGGATCTTTTTAATATATAACAGGAAAACCTAGTTCTTAAATATTAACAATGGAGACTTTATTAGTATGAGGGCTGTTTGTTTATTGTAACAAGATCCTTATTTACGAGAAAAGCAGTAGTGATTAAACTGGAAAGTCTGTGATCCGGTTATTTCAGGAGAACCAGCAGGGCAAGATGGACCTGGGCAAGGAGGGAAAATAACCCCAGCAAGGAAACAAAACACATAAAGGTTCTTATTCTGCATCAATATATCTCCCGTATAAACAGGAAATAACATGTATTAAGAGAAAAGAATAAGACAGATAGCAATACA